ATGGGAACAAATTCGGTCAGTACTGGCACCTGACCATACTTCTGGAATGAAATAATATCGTAAACCGGGGGTCCACTGTATTTGCAAAGAAGAATGTCATCGGATTGGTGGTACTGGGGGGGACTTTTTTACCCGGCACTAATATCTGTATACAGATACAGCACGTAATGAAAATACAGTGGACCCTCGACCAGCGATGGCATCGATTAACGATAAATCTGACTAGCGATACATTTTATCGCAAAAATTTTGCCTCTATTATCGCTAAAAAACTCGACCAACGTTATTCGTTCCGTCTGAAATGTGTCCACTTCTGGCCAGTGTTTACAAGCCAGCCAGCCACCGCGGTCACTTCCAAGCATACAATCGGAACATTTCATATTATCACAGCCTTTTTAGTGATTGCACCTGCAAAATAAGTCACCATGGGCCCCAAGAAAGCTTCTAGTGCCAACCCTACAGCAAAAAGGGTGAGAATTACTATGGATATGAAGAAAGAGATCATTGCTAAGTATGAAAGTGGAGTGCATGTCTCCGAGCTGGCCAGGCTGTACACAAAACCCCAATCAACCATCGCTACTATTGTGGCCAAGAAAACGGCAATCAAGGAAGCTGTTCTTGCCAAAGGTGCAACTATGTTTTCGAAACTGAGATCGCAAGTGATAGAAGATGTTGAGAGACTGTTATTGGTATGGATAAACGAAAAACAGATAGCAGGAGATAGCATCTCTCAAGCGATCATATGTAAAAAGGCTAGGAAGTTGCATGACGATTTAATTAGAAAAATGCCAGCAACTAGTGGTGATGTGAGTGAATTTAAGGCCAGAAAAAGTTGGTTTGAGAGATTTAAGAATCGTAGTGGCATACATAGTGTGATAAGGCATGGTGAGGCTGCCAGTTTGGACCAAAAAGCAGCTGAAAAATATGTGCAGGAATTCAAGGAGTACATAGACAGTGAAGGACTGAAACCTGAACAAGTGTTTAATGGTGACACTGACAATGTTGTGAAACACTTTAGGAATGTCATAAAGGAACGGGAGGTACAGGCCTCTATGGGCAGATATGTTGTGCGACAGAGGTCCAGTGACTCTCAAGCTGGTCCTAGTGGCATTAAAAGAAGAAGGGAAGTAACCCCGAAAAAGGACTTGCCACCTCAAGTCCTAATGGAAGGGGATTTCCCTTCTAAACACTAAGACCATCAACACACTCTCCTCTTCCCATCCCATCAATCATCACCAGATCTTCAATAAAGGTAAGTGTCATGTAACTGTGCATGTCTTCTTCAGTTTGTGCGTATTAAAATTAATATTTCATGTGTTAAAAATTTTTTTCTTCAATAATTTTGGGTGTCTTGCACGGATTAATTTGATTTCCATTATTTCTTATGGGAGAAAATTAACTTGACTAACGATTATTTTGACTAACGATGAGCTCTCAGGAACGGATTAATAGCGTTAGTCGAGGGTCCACTGTAGTTTGTTATATTGTGTATTGGTGGATAAAAGGTTGATGGGTAGACTTCAGGATGTGCATGTTTATAGAGAGCAACAGATATATCGAATAATTATTTAGTTGTAGCTACAGTTAGAGTAAGAGGTACATGGAACAAAAGGAAAATGGCAACAGCAAGTAAGAGAGAGGTGAAAGTTAATAAACTAAAGGAGGAGGAAGTTAGGGTGAGATGTTAGCAACTAGTGGAAGGAAGGTGGGCTGATGAGTGCATAGGTAGTATGCGGGGCTGAAGAGGGGCGGGATAGTTTTAAAAAGGCGGTGTTAGAAAAAGGAGCAGAAGTTTGTGGTTGTAGGATGGTGGGTGCAGGAGGACATAGGAGTGATTGGTGGAATGATGAGGTAAAGGGTGTGATAAAACAGAAAATGTTGCATGAGAGATTTCTACAGAGCAGAAGTGATGTAAGAAGGGTGGAGTATATAGAGAGGGGAAGAGTGAGGGAGTGCAGAAGGAGAACGAATGATAGTGTGGGTGATAATAAGAAAAAAAATTGGAGAAAAATAGGTTAAGAAAGCCTAGGGAACAAATGGATTTGACAATTAAAAACAAAATAGGGAAGTTAGTAGATGGGAGTTGAAGGTATTGGGAAGATGGCAGGAATATTTTGAGGAACTGCTAAATGTTGATGAAGGGAGGGAGGCAGTAATTTCATGCATTGGCCAGAGAGGTATAACATCTTTCAGGAGTGAAGAAGAGCAGGATGTGAGTGTGGGGGAGGTGTGTGAGGCATTAGGTAGAATGAAAGGGGGTAAACCAGCTGGAACTGACAGCATCATGACAGAAATGTTAAAAGCAGGGGAGGATATAGTGTTGGAGCAGTTGGTATTTTTGTTCAGTAAATGTATGAAAAAGGGGAAATTGCCTAGTGATTGTCAGAGATCATGTATAATTCCTTTATATATAGGGAAGGGGGACAAAAGAGACTGTAAAAATTATAGGGGAATAAGTTTACTGAGTATACCAGCTTTTGGAGTGAGATTAATAAGTTGAGGAAGCCTAGGGAACGAATGGATTTGTTAATTAAAAATAGGAGAGGAGAGTTATTAAACGGAGAGTTAGAGGTATCAAGAAGATGGAGGGAATATTTTGAGGAATAGTTATCCCTTTCACTGTTGGTGTCATAGTATTACCGACTTACAAGCCAGTGTTGGTGCCGTAATACTACGCCAAAATTCTAGCAGCTTCAAATCTAGCGGGAGAAAGCTGGTAGGCCTACATGTGAGAGAATGGGTCTGCATGGTCAGTGTGCACAGTATAAAATAAATTGGGCCACCCTCATTGCATTGTAGGAATGCCATTTCAGTAGTCCTTGTGTACCATGCCTCACAGAAAATAATATCTCAACCCCTCCTACCCTGGCAAATTGGGACTCTTCCCAAGTGATAGTTCTAACACAGATGGAAGTGTCAGTGAAGGTGAATTTCATGGTTCTGAGGAGTTTCTGACCGAAAGCAATGCCCAGGATACCAGATACAGATTGTGAAAAGGGAAGGCAGCTTGGGAGGTGGAGAAAGCAGCTTGGATGGTGTGGGTAGTTGGGAAGGCGGTGTGTAAGTTTATTCAGGCACAGTATACACAAATATAGTTACACAGATTATCATACTTAGCAGCATTTGTAGAGAACTTAGGATAACCCAAAAAAGTCAAAGTGACTTATTTCCAGCATGGGTAGTGTGGGTGGTGGGTAAGACAGCATGGATGGTGGGGATGATGGTGTGGGTGGGGAAGGCAGCGTTGGATTGGGTAAACAGGTTTTATAAACAATAAAGATAACTATGTTTGCGCAGTTATTGTGTTGCATATGAGTGGATATATATACTTTTTTTTTTTAACAAGTCGGCAGTCTCCCACCGAGGCAGGGTGACCCAAAAAGAAAGAAAATCCCCAAAAAGAAAATACTTTCATCATCATTCAACACTTTCACCTCACTCACACATAATCACTGTTTTTGCAGAGGTGCTCAGAATACAACAGTTTAGAAGTATATATGTATAAAAATACACAGTATATCCCTCCAAACTGCCAATATCCCAAACCCCTCCTTTACAGTGCAGGCATTGTACTTCCCATTTAGAGGACTCAAGTCCGGCTATATAAAAATAACCAGTTTCCCTGAATCCCTTCACTAAATATTACCCTGCTCACACGCCAACAGATCGTCAGGTCCCAAATACCATTCATCTCCATTCACTCCTATTGAACACGCTCATGCACGCCTGCTAGAAGTTCAAGCCCCTCGCCCACAAACCTCCCCTACCCCGCCTTCCTTCCCCTACAGATTTATACGCTCTCCATGTCATTCTACCTTGATCCATTCTCTCTAAATGACCAAACCATCTCAGCAACCCCTCTTCAGCCCTCTGACTAATACTTTTATTAACTCCACACCTCCTAATTTCCACACTCTGAATTTTTTTGCATAATATTTACACCACACATTGCCCTTAGACAGGACATCTCCACTGCCTCCAACCACCTCCTCACTGCTGCATTCACAACCCAAGCTTCACACCCATATAAGAGTGTTGGTACTACTACACTTTCATACATTCCCTTCTTTGCCTCCATAGATAACATTTTTTGTCTCTACATATACCTCAGCCCACCACTCGCCTTTTTTTCCTCATCAGTTCCATGATTAACCTCATCCATTATAAATCCATTCGCTGACACGTCAACTCCCAAGTATCTGAAAACATTCACTTCGTCCATACTCCTCCTCCCCAATTTGATATCCAATTTTTCTTTATCTAAATCATTTGATACCCTCATCACCTTACTCTTTTCTATGTTCACTTTCAACTTTCTACCTTTACACACACTCCCAAACTCATCCACTAACCTTTGCAATTTTTCTTTAGAATCTCCCATAAGCACAGTATCATCAGCAAAAAGCAACTGTGTCAATTCCCATTTTGTATTTGATTCCCCATAATTTAATCCCACCCCTCTCCCAAACACCCTAGCATTTACTTCTTTTACAACCCCATCAATAAAAATATTAAACAACCATGGTGACATTACACAAATAACCTGCACATTTACGACGACGTTTCGGTCCAACTTGGACCATTTAGAAAGTCACACTAACCAGACTTGGAGCAGGACGGGTATATATAGGCAGGAAGAGGTAGTGGTGGTAGTAGTGGGGAATTAAGGAGGAGCCAGTCAAATACAAAGAAAGGGGAGCACTGCAAGGCAGCAAGGTGCCCACAGAGGGAGAGCAAGTGCACAGAGGTGGGAGGAAGAGGAAGTGATGAAATAAATAATGAAGGAACAGAATCACGAGACAGAAGAAAGAAAGATAACCCAGAGGAGAAAAAAGAAGGAAAGGGTTAATCCAAAAATTATAGATAAATTTTTAGATACCATTTCAGTACATCTTGTACTATTATATTACATTATATTGAAAAATTAAGTTACATGAAGCAATTACATGTAAAGAAATATGTAAGATGTTTTAATTGGTAATTTTTTTTTTTCTTTACAGGCAAGATCTACAGGTTCCCTCTGCTGGGCAAGAGACTATTCGTATAGCTTCCTTCACTTAGAAAATATGTCAGAAAGAGTCTCATTAACTTTAACACCATTTGTGGAAGAAGATTCAGAGGATGAGAGAGAGGGTGAACTGTTGTATATGAAGACATAGATAACAGTTATATCAGAAATTAGAATTTATATAAATTTTATGAAATAAGTTTATGAGTGCAGAGGAAACCATGAATTACAGCACATCCTAATTGTACCTGTCACTATGATGTAGAACTAAATCCTTTCCATACTTAAGTATCCTCAGGTCATGTTTGTGGATCAAGTCAAATTTTTGTGTAATGTGCCTCAAAAATGAGGGTGTTATTTTTTCTAAGCATGAACTTTTTTTTTTTTTTTTACAACAGTTTTCAGAAAAGAATGATGCATTTTCCTTGTTAATGCTCAGTAGCAAGTACTGTATTTATTTATACAGTAATACTAACGTGCCATGATGCTGGAGCATATCATTGAAGGCGTTTCCACATTGTATGTAATGGACAGTATTTTAATTAGTTACTTTTCTTTTCTGTCATCTTTATTCTATTTTAAGATATGGCATTATTAACTATAGTCTTCAAAATTTATGGTTAATAATGCCATATCTTAAAATAAGATATGGCATTATTAAATATAATTATCAAAATTTCAAGTGTATGGAAACAAACCTAGAAAGTTCAGGCATCTGTGGAAAATTTTATCAAAATTTCACGTTATGCTAAATTTAAATGACTGTTTGGTGGCTTTTTATAAACTGCTCTGTAGTCAAAAACACGTTTAATCATGACATAATAATAAGACAGAAGTGTACTTTACAAAAAATCTGTTTTTAAATTTATTCTTTGCTACTGATAATAACAAAATACAATATATGTAAATGAAAAGGAGAAACATTATAGCTCCTGTATATTTATTAGTAATGAATGAATCTATTATTGATATGCATTATGAAAGTATTCTTAAAAGCATAAGTATGAATTCCCTTAGTTCCTAAACTAATGTTCGATGAAATTTAACTTTTTTTTTTTTAATAATTCCTTCAGTGCTTTAAATATTTACTAGTTAAAGCTATTTATGTCATAATAAATTTTGTATGAAAGCTATTACAATGTCACAAATTAATTATTAATCTTTTTACAATGACTGATTAAACTTATATAAATAGTAATACCGTGCTAGAATACTGTAAAAAATAAGAGGCACTATGGTCATGTGAGCAGTTCTCTACTGGTGAAAGTAGAGGACTGGGAATGATCTCAGACCTTGGTGAAAATAAGGAGAGTAATGAAGCCAAGGTCAGATAAGTTGCCATACTGCTTAGCAGCTATTAAAGTATACATATTGCCAGAAAACTATTTTCTTAAAACCAGAACAAATGCAGCTCAGTAAAGGCTCTCTTAACCAAATGTATGATTGTTGTGAAAATATTAATATGTAGGATTGATTTATGGTACAGCCTTTCCTCACTTAACGACAGAGTTCCGTTCCTAAAACCATGTCATTAAACAAATTCGTCACTTAGTGAGGAGCATACTATAATGGTAATGAGTTTGTGTCAACCATCTTTAATATTATTTTAATGTCACCTTTGCACCATTTATAACATTTCTGGTATATTTTTAAATGTTTATACAGTAGTGTACTGCATATTGAAAATAAACAGAATAGAGGAAATCAGCTCTAATATACATAATTTAGGTATGATTACTGCTCAGAGAGCCCATTGTAAGTCCGAGGCGTTGGTAAACAGGTATGTCGCTAAGTGAGAAGAGGCTGTATTTGCATTATTTGAGTAATTAAAAATTAAAAGAATAATCTTGAAAAGCTAGAATTATCATATTATACAGGGCAATATACAACAACTGTGTTAAATTTTATCATTAAAATATTTGTAATAAGGTACAATACCACATATATTACTTAAAAAACAATATATACATAAAAACATTAATAGGAATACATACCATAAAAATAATTTGCTATTGATTTCAAATCCTAGTTTAATCTCAGATTATCATGTTAATCAACTGTAGTATAAAAAACTATTTAAGTACTGGTGTAATAAATATATCTGTTTTACCTCAGGTACCATAAAGATCCAGTAATCATGTGATACCAGCTATTAGTTTAACTTTGGTTAAGAGATATTTTACTGGATCTTTAACTTTTAATAGGGATCTTTTTTTTTATATTCACTATTCATTAATTTTGCAGATAATTGCCTGAATACCTGACAGGTACATTGTCAAAAACTTAAAAGCTTGACTACTATTAGGTTCAATAATAATTAGGCAGTACAGTAGTGATAGTACTTGAAAAATTTGCTAAAAAGCTGCATAATTTTTAGCTTAGAATAAACTAAGATCAGTTACTTCTTCATTGTGATAGAGCCAATATTATTTCTTAACAGGTGTCAGGTCATTAATGTATAGATTATGAATAGCTGAGAGAATCTGGTATTTGAAGGAAGTATGGTGCTGTTGCAATATTAGATACTTACTCATGTGATAAAATACTGGGCATCACTATGCCATTTTGACTTATGAAACAGTGATCCTGTCTTCAGTCATTTTATACAAACTGCCTTTCTTAAGGGCTTAAAGTGAAAAATAAAATTTCCATACCTTAGATGCGAGAAACTGAACATGTACAAGCTATAGAATTTCAAATTATTGTGATAACAAAAGGATATGGTAAATCTGTCATGACAGAAATTATTGAGTGACACATGGAAAAGTTAAATCATAAATGACAGACTTCAAGATGGTGACATTAGGAAACAGAGAAAAAATAGACAGTGTATTTAAAATAGTGATTACCAGAGACACAATAATAATGTTTTCACCATTTTTGGGTATACATTAAAGATTACTTCATATCTAACGAAGTTACCAGAAAATATGCATGCAGAGTTTTTCATGTTCTATTCATGACATCTCAAAAATTTCATTCTAGTCATGAAAATTCATTTCTGAGGCATTTAATGGTGACTAACATTCACAAGAAACTAGAAATGAATCAAGTTTAATGACTTGCAAAAGGAACAGTGAACAAGGTATGCATCTAAACAAATCAAGTTTAATATATTGTGAAAAGAACAGTGAGCTAGATATGCGTCTTAATGTCACAAACAAGGACATAATGCCTTGTAATAGGGTGGCCTTAATGTTTAAAAGTAGTTAGTACTTTTATATTGCCCAATATAAGAGTTTATGCATACTCAGTCTTATTTTATAAATGCTTTTGTATTAAATTTATTATTGGCAAAATTTATTATTTCTGTATTTGTAATGTGTCTTCCTTCATTCATTTTTTAATAGAAGTAAATTGTGATACAGTAATGATGTTCAAGTCTGAAACTGGATGATCCCCCCATCAAAGTTTGTATTTTATGAGAACCATATAAAACCTTAATAATTACTGAAATCTCCTTTAATGTCCATAGAATAAATTTAGACAGGTTTAACAGGCAACCACTAGTGTCTTGTATGCCAGCAGGTCCAACCCAGATTACAGAAAAGTCTTTTCCTGTTCTGACATACATATTACTTTAGGGCAAACATTTAATTACAGTCTTTAATTAATTGTTTTAAAAAACTGTCTACTGTATTAGGTTCTCATTGATTTATTAGTACATTTAGCTTTTTAGTTTTATGTATACTACTTTTTGATGAGCAGTCAAACACTGAAACTTCAGAGTATGGGCAGAGGTGTCTAGAACTTTTGATCTAACCAGTCATGAAAAAATCTAAGGGAAAATTTACAATTTACAAATTAAAGCACAAACAAAATATAAAATAATATAGTACTCACTAATGTCTGTTGTCCTTGTACTCTTGTAAATATCTTAGGACACTATGTACAAGGGGTGTTTGATAAATGCATCATATTCAGTTGAACATAGTGTAACCGTAGGTATAGGATGTAACTGCATCATATTGAGAGTAAGAATATAATAAAATGGAATTGAATGAAGATTCTTAAGACAGAAATGGTACCAGTATCCATATCCAGGTTGCCATGTGAATCATCAGTAGCACTCAGGGGTGGGGCTGGTACTGCAGATTTGAATAAGGACAACAGTATGGACTACTATACTACAAGAGTGAATCTCTTATCTTAATCATCATGATCTGCTGCTTGGCAATGAAATTATGCTTTATGCTCTGAAAATGAATGTATTTACCAGAGGGATTTTGCTCACCTAAGTTGTCATCGCTAAAATTACTTGGGGTGCATCACTGCATCAACAATGTCTACATCTCTTTATCGTCAATTCATTTTTAAATATACTGTGGTATCTTGCCTAGTTGCACTAGAAATTCTTTCAAAAAGTTCTTTGGCATATGACACTGTACTATATTTTTTCCACATCAGCCATATTTGTTAAGATGGAAGCCTTCAAAATAACTCACTGTCTGAATTGTAACTGATGAACAAGCTTTCAGGCTATATCTTAAATAACAGCATTGTTAAGTAACTTAACACTTTACTCGTTCCATGACTCTTGTTATAAAGGCCGTATTTCTTGGTTTATTTTTGGAGATGCTTTATATTCCCATATAAAAATGAAAGCTAAACATCATAAGCTTGAGTCATGTGGGTAAACATTTTCGGTCACAGTATATAAATGAGCAAGGAGCAGTATGGAAACTGGTAGTTAAAAAATACTGGAGTTGTGCGCCACCTTTTTGCCTCCTTTCACTTCCAACATAAAATTACCAGAACTGTTGCTAAGTGGCATGTGGGGGGCTGATGACCAGACTGCATGCCAAGCCAAGTAAGGAATGCTAAAATTCATCTGTACTAAATAATCATATTTTCAGAATACTAAAACTTCCCAATTCCAAAGTTTCTGTGGTTAACTGTAGTTGTCAAATAATAAGTATTTGCAAGATTAATTATCAAGTACAGTACTAAAATTCAGTTTTCTCCCACCCTGAATAATGCTTATTTAAACATTACTGTACCTGTAAAACCATATCATTAGAAAAATTACTATTGCTATCTACTTTTCTTAGAAGACTGCTAATTTTTGTAAATAGACTTTGTTATTTCTGTACTGTGTTACTAAAAAAAAACATTTCAATTAAGAGGTTGCAGTCTCATAAATACAATAATGAAGTGATTGGGGAGTTTGGTCATTCAGTAATTTTACCAACATAGTATACAGTATTATAAAATGTAAGGTTCAAGTCATTATTTCTTAGTTATAAAACTCCAAAATTTGCTCTGCAGCAAAAACATATATACACCATCTTAGGTTGTTTTCTTTAGAAAGGAAGATATGAAATACCATATCATTTATTAATAAGTTTTTAGGTGTTTATATGAAGGGAGCTGTGACCAAATGATACAATCCATGCAGCTTCAAAAAAGATTCAAAATATGCCTGATAATCTTATTTTTAATGTTGACCTAGTTTACTAGTCATTATCACCCTGCAAGGTGATGTCGAACCCGTCAATAGGTCTAACCATACTAAAGGATATGTTTGGTGTCAGGGAAGCATGTAATGGCTTTTATAAATCGAGTAGTATGTACATTTTCAACAAACCATGCACAATGATAATATACTTAAGTCATTTATAGATTTTATAGTTAATGAAGGTTGACTCAGTTCACAATGACATGAAGCTAAGAATTGAAATCTTGAGTACTTACAGGGGTTTGAAATGTGGTGTGGAAGGTTTCCAGGACCACATGCTATCAACTATGATGACCAAGTACTGGTCATGGTGCAGTGGTTAGTTTACTTAACTATGGTTCAGGGGAGAGTACTGTGGCCCAATAGCCTTTCAAACCCCAGTTCAAATAACACAAGTACTTCTAGAGCTCAATTAATGAAGGATGTATGAATGTGATATATAAGGTGTAATGATATTATTGCCCATTTGTAAAAAAAAAAATCTTCGTGACTTTTTCACTCTGAGTGATATAGTACTTTACAAAATTTATGCATACTTAAGTTTACTTCATCTTAAGCATATACAATTTGTTTTTGCAGTTTGCTCCTAATGTCAAACCCTGAGCATGTAATTAGCATTCAGCAGTCTCAACAAATGGGATCTCTCCTATATTCTGTACAGGAAATTTGTGAATTTTTAAGAATTTTAATTTTATTTTTATTGGCTTATTGGATATGTCCATACAATAGGTGATGATTTAAGTGTAGGTAAACAGCATTTCAGTTTGATGCATATGTAGTATATTCTCACCCTTTCACTGTCGCTTGTGTAGATCTGTCTCATTGAAGCTAGTGTCGCAAATGTTGCCCTGCTTCTTAAATTCAAATTCATAACATCATCAAATATGCTATGAGCGGCACATTTTGCCGTAGACATGAGAGAATGTATGTGTGGTGGTGGTTGTGCACAGTATAAAAAAAATCTTGTCCCATGCAATGCATGATGGAAAAACTACCCTCCAACCTTGAGTTTAGGTCGAAATAGTGACTTTGATACATTTCCTAGGGTGGTTTTCATGCCTTTTATTGGTTGTTTCTTGGAGATGGAAATGATTTTGTTCAGTTTCAGATTGAACATACCTGAAATAGACTCAAAGTGACAGATACTATACTGTATATGATTTTTGCTGATATTCCTGAAGTGGGGTAGGGGGATGCCTCCCTTAACCTCATTGATCTGTTTTATTGGTTTTTATTAGGTCTGCTTCAATAACTGGGATGATCTAAACCATGCTCAAGCATTCTTGGTTATATTTCATTAGCCAAGAAATAGGGAAACCACTTTTTTTTTTTTTTAAAGTGATGGATTGAAAATGTAGGACAAGTGTTATATTGGAGACCTGGAGATGTGATTAAAGAATAGCAGAAAAGCTGATTTTGTGGCTGGAATGCCTACAGTGTATTTTGAGCCTTGTTTTTTAATTGGAATTTGTTCAATTCTGTGTAATATTTTGGGTGCTTCAGTGGGTAATTCTGAGAGTTAAATGGACAGTTTCTTGCATCAATCAGTAGTACAGAAAGCATGCTAGCAAATTAGCCATGAACTGGGTCAGTTTGAGCAATGTAATTGGCATAAAATGTAATAATGTAATTGGCATGCCTGTATGATTCCATATTTTATACTACATAAAATTTTACATATTTGGTGTCACTACCTTTAGAATAAGATTCTCTATAATTTTAGAAGATAAAATTATCTTTTATATTGAAAAATTGCAGCAGTGAAAGGGTTAGTTTCTTTTCCAAATTTTATGGTTTCTTTTAGAATTCATATCTCTTAGTCAATTACACAATATTTAATAATTATAATGGAGAGAGAACATTGTGGTGTGCACAGTACATGTGTATCTTAGTCTGAGTGAGAATGCATCTACAAAAGAGTAACTTTTGTGGCTGCATATATGATCCCTTTATTTTTAAGGCTTGTGGCTTGTTTTTCTGTTTAACTATATATTTCTGAGTCATGTCAATGAATAGAAATCTGAAAACTCAGAAATATGTATTCATTTAAAATATTATGGAGCTTTTATACAAAACAAATTACATTTACAACCATGTTTTATGTTCACCAAATTGTTGCCATGCTATTTATTCAAATTGTATAAAACAATGACTCTTAAAACAGTTGGGCTTACTTAGCCAAATCGTATAGGAATATCAGACTTATTAGTATCTTTAAACAGTGGAGGCCATACAATCTAGTGGGTGGTTGGCTGTGAATATCATTTTATTTACTGTTACATAGGCACCTAGATTTTTCATTTGGTGCTCAATTCAGTAGAATATACCATGTAAGAATTGTGGTGGATTGTACATTAAGGCATATACATACACATTATATGTCAAGATGTTCAGTGATATCTCTTCTATACTTCACCTAAAATTATATAAAGTGAATATACTCAGCTTTAAAGTTTGGGGATCTTCTATTTGTGCATAATACATTATGCACTGTACAGTGGTAGCAGCATTTGGCTCACAGTTAAATATATAGTGTCAAACCCTGGGCGAGGTGGGACATATGGGCAAATCTTCTAACATTTTTCTTCCCATTATCAAGCAGAATTAGTCAACTGTTGTGAGTTGTATCCTTGGGAAAAACTTAAAAGGACCCCAATAAAAAAAAAGCATATTATAGTCATCCTTTATTTACAAAATTTTGACTTGCTATTTACCCCTCATAAATAAATTTAGTTTTGAGTTATGATGAAAAATTTGAGATAGGACATGTATGGGTGGGTCTCAGCCCAAAGATGAGATAGGTTAGAGGAAGGGACGGGAGTGGTGGGTGGGAGTGAGGAATGGTGGAAGGGAAGAACACAGGCAGAGGGAGGGAGGGAGGGAGAGAGAGAGAAGGGAGACTGTGACAAAAACTGCAAATATTAATTGTTAAGTTTATAATTCTTTACTAATCTCTGCCTGCCTTGCCCTGCACTACCTGCTTGCCTTGCTCTGCACACACTGCTTCTGTCCCTGCCTGCCTTGCCCTGTCTGCTCTGCCCAATCCTGTCTGCTTTGCCTGCCTACCCAGCCCTGTCCTGCATTTCCTGTCATGTTAAGTAAAAGGACACAATGCAACTAATGTGACATTTTATTGTGGCTTGATAAAGCTCCTGGAGAGCAAAGCATTGCTACAATAAAATGTCACATTAGTTGCATATTGTGTCCTTTTACTTAACATATTGTCGGTAATTCTACCAATATTAACCCCTTGACTGTCGCAACCCCCAATCCTGAGGTGTCTCCTGGTGTTGCAAAATTTAAAAAAAAAAAAATATTTTTTCTTATGAAATGATAGAGAATCTTTTCCAGATTGTAATGACACCAAAAAAACGAAATTTGATGGAAAACTGACGGAATTACACTCTCGCGAAGTTAGCGACCTTGGCGATTTTGCCCACTTTCCTCTTCAAGGGGGGCTCCTTGGCGTGGTGAAGAGGCTCTTGGTCTGAGGAATTAGACCTGTCGGTCTCCTTCCTCAGACCGAACCTAATTACCCCCCAATCCCCTGTTCCCTATCCCATCCTCCCCTTTTTCCTTCCTCCTCCTCCTCCTCCCCACCCCTCCCTTTTGCCCTTCCTTTTTGGCCTTTGGTTTTTTTTTTTTTTTTTTTTTTTTTCCCACAGGCACGCTAGTTCCTAGGTAGGGGAAAGGGTACCGGGGTCCATCCCATTCCGTTGAGATTCTTGGCGGTGGCGTAGTTTGCCGTGGAATCTGGATTGCCTGGGGAAGTCCCGATCCCTCTCCGGTATCCCGGAGGGTGGCTTTGGGTGTCTCTCGGGGACGAGGTGTATCTCTGGAAGCCACCTTTCGGATTCCGGGGGTGGTGACCAAAGGAGGTATGCTTTGTGGTGGATTTCCGGCCGCCCTCTCTTTTGTCCACCGAGGTAGCTCGGCAGATGTGAGATTGCTATCCCGGATTGCCGGTTTACTGGCATGATGGGTAGGGTATGGCACGGGTTCCATGCTGCATCTGCGCTACTTGCGGTGCTGAGATCCTCTTGGGCACGGAGGGAGATTTCTGGCCCTTTCATTCCTCCTAGGAACTATCCCTCCCCGGTCCCCCCTTTTTTTATTCTTTTTTTTTATTTTTATTTTCTTTTCTTCTTTTTTTTTTCTTAAAAACAAAAAGAAAGAAGTAACCTAACCATGGCAGCCCTAGTCTATGAACCTGCTACCCCTGGGCCCCTTCTTGATACCGCACCCCGTTCTGACCCCGCCTCGTCTTTGGACCACTCTTCGGACACTCCTCATGCCTCTGTACCTCTTGCCGGTGCTGTTTCCTCACCCGCTTCAGGTACTAAGGCCTCGACTGACTCCTTCGATTTATCTGACCTTCGCTGTCCTCTGACTATGCTTCCGGCCTCTCCCTCTACGGTGCGGCAATTTTCGAATCGCCGACCCGTTTCACGTCAGACCAACTCTGGTCCCACGCCTAAATGCCAACGACAATTACCTGCTGATGATACTTCTCCACCTTCTCGTTCTTCTCAGAAAACATCGACACGTCCTTCACTACCTTTCCATGCTCAGTTTCAAACTGCACAATGGACTAAATTCTTCACTTTACGACCGACTTCCTCTACTGCCTATCTTTCTGACCACAGTATTGGCAAGGCACTCCTACGCCATGTTGGTAAAGATATTTCTTTTCATGCTCTTAAGAGCGGTACGCGCATCATCACCATACAGAATGCTACCCAGGCTCATGAGTTTCTCGTCTTTCCCATATCGATACTGTTCCTGTCACTATTGAAAAACATCATTCCCTCAATTCTTGTAGTGGTACCGATCATTCTGCCCCATACCATAGTTCAACAAAATTTCCAGACATGTGGCACTGACATTCTTGAACAGCTGAACTCCAAGATCTCCAACCTCGAGTGAATCCTTGTGTTAGCGCTCTTTTTGATTTAATAAATAACCCAATCCTCAAGGTAGACACTTACAGTTCTTCCTGCCCGTGGGCGGAGACGATACCCTAGCAATGTGGCTCGTTTAACTTTTGACAGCCGTGAACTCCCATCCTCAGTTTATGTAGCAGGACATCGGTTACAAGTTCGAAAGTGATCCCTACACCGCAACAGTGTAGAAATTGCTGGCGATTTGGCCATCCAGCGAAATATTGCAGATCTATCGCCGAATGCCCAGTCTGTGGTGCCGATGACCATTCTAATACGTCTTGCAATCGACCTCCCTCTTGCCTTAATTGTCATGAGGCTCACCCTTCGTACTCTCGCCGTTGTCAAGTCTACTTAAACGAGCGGAAAATCCGTTACCTCAAAGAGGCAGAAGGTCTCCCTTATGCCATGGCAGTTTCTCATCTCGCCTCCAAGGGAGACTACCTCGTGTTTCTTATTCCCGTGTTTCAAAACGTCCCCCCACTTCTGGTATCCCATCTTCTGCACCCACCTCTGTGGTTACCTCTCCCATAGTCCACTCCTGTATCTAATTCTTTTGCTGTCCTCGGGCTCAGACGTCCCTACTTCAACGCCTCAGTCTGATCTCGCTTCTTCATGTTCTCTCTCACAAGCCTCAGTAGCGACGAGATCTCGTATGACACCTCCTCCCAATCGTCAATCTACTTCTCAAAAGTCAAAAAAAGGTCCGTTAACACCTCCTACCCATTTTCTACCTCCTCATTTTACCTTCCCTGTCTCTGTACCTGGTTCTCCCCCTCTCACTGGCTCTGTTACAAGTGTAGAGGTTCACCCTCCTCCTCGTACTGTACCTTCCTCCCCTGTTCCCTCCCAAGTTTCTTCCTCTTCTGCCACCTCCCAGGTTTCTGCCTCTTCTGTCCCCTTCCATGCTTCTCCAGTTCCCTCCACCCTTTCGCCCCTCCCCCTACCTTGGTAGAGTCCAATACAGTTCCAATCTTTACTCATCCTCCCCCTACCATTTCCAATATTGTCTCCCATACGACATCTCTGAATATATTGCAGAGACCAAACCATCAATGGACACTGATCCACCCTCCACTCTTTCTCTCTCCTCTGCTCCATCTGCGCAACTCCTTTCTTCACAGCGCACCATTCCTTCACTGCTTGAACGTTTTCCACTGCCTCCGCATATGGACTTTTCTAACCCCTCTAGTCCGTAGGAACCCTTACCTGCGGATTTCAGGTATTTTTATCATTGCCAATCATGGCCTATTTACAGTGGAATATACGCGGCCTCAGGGGTAATCGGGGTGAGCTTCAGATGTTACTCTCCCAGTTTTCCCCTGTTGGTGTTTGCTTACAGGAACCAAAATTACACTCTGCTGTTATCTCTCCCATCTCAGGCTATAATTTATTGTATTCTTCAGATCCTTTTCCTGATGGGACCTTTAATGAAAGTGCCCTTCTTCTACGCACTGATATTCCGTTCCATCAGCTATTTGTTCGTACTTCGCTGCATTACACAGCAGCCCATATCCACTTGCATAGGTGGTATACGCTCTGTTCTTTATATCTCTCTCCTTCTCGGGCATTATCTATTCCGGATATTGCCTTTCTTGTTTCGTCATTACTGCCACCGATTCTGTTACTTGGTGATTTTAATGCCCAACATTTCCTCTGGGGGGGATCTCACTGTGATTCCCGTGGCATTCAGTTAGAGGCTTTTCTTGCCACCCACCCCCTCCATGTTTTAAATACAGGTACTCACACCCATTTTGATCCTCGGACTCGCACTCTCTTGCATCGATCTCTCAGTCTGCTCTTCCTCTGCCGCATTAGACTTCACTTGGTCTGTTCTCCCGGACTTACATGACAGCGATCATTTCCCAATCATTCTTACTTCCCCTTCTTATTCACCACCTCTTCGCATCCCACGCTGGCAATTTGATCAGGCAAATTGGAACCTTTACTCACACCTAACTGTTTTTAGAGAGGTTCCTTCTTCGTCCTCCATCGATGAGCTTTTACACCTCTTCTCATCCCCCGTTTTAACCGCAGCTTCTCATTCTATACCCCAAACTTCGGGCAGGCATTCTCAGAAATGCGTGCCTTGGTGGTCTCCCTGCTTGTGCTCGTGCAGTACGTTTGAAACGCGCTGCATGGGGCAGGTAC